TTTGTGAACGGTGAACGCGAGCGCACGGTGAACGCTGAACGCAAAACTGTGAACGGAGAGCGAACGGTGAACGCACGGTGAACGAACGGTGAACGCACGCTGAACGAACGGTGAACGAACGGTGAGCGAACGGAAAAATGGGAAAGTAGAACGTTTCAGGGACTGTAAATAACAGATATATCTGCATTCGATAATTGATTTTTTTTCGCAAACCGTTGGACAACACATTTTTCATTAAATAATTTCAGGATAAGATAATATTTCTGCAGTAGTTGAACAGCAGATTTGAGTTACCAAAATTCGACTTTTTGTGTGTGTGTGTGTGATATTTACCTCCATATTTTACAAGATTACAGATTGCAATAATCCTTAAATTATCAGAGAGTTTATGTGCATGTATATGACACGTTTTTAATTTTATTTTAGATACATTTTCTTCAAATCCTCTTTGTGTAGAAATGATTTATAAAATAAACCATGCATCTGATAAATACGACATATGAATGCATACATATGGCAAAAAAATCTTTTTTTGAAAATGACTGTAATTAAAATGAACACAGTTATAATCGAAAGCAAAGGCACGGAAGTCTAGTCACTATTCCTTCTAAGCATTATAATAGTTTACTGAACATATTAACTAGGTTTTGAAACATGACTTACATGGATGCGCTTACACATTTGAAGACTTTGTCTTTTCAGTGCAGGGCACGAGCACGTGGATCTTAGATTTTAGGGCATCTTATTTGTTCAAACATCTGTATATCGATAATGAAGAACTAACATTTAAGAAAAAAGTAAAAAAAAAACTTATTTCAAAAGAAATTGATATAATTGATTAAAGAAAGACAAATGAAAAGGTTTTTTAAAGTTCTGCGTGATATCGTAATGGGACACTGTGATACACCGTGTGCACACCGTGTTACATGGTGTGCAGACATCCTAACTTCAAAGACGCCAACATTGATCGAGGTCCACGCCTTACGGTCCATGGGGCCCCGTGTTTTTTGGGGAAAACTCGTGGCCTGTACTGTATAATTTCAAATTTTAAAACCTTTAAAATCGTAAGATTTTGATATATTCTCAAATGTTTAAAGCGGAAAGGTCCTACTTGATGAATTTTTATTACAGCATTTAAATCTTCATGTGTTTTGAAATCTCTCACAGATCAAATAGGGTGAAATTTAAACGATTTAAATTTTTCAAAAAAATTTAAATTGCTTCCACAAACCTAAAAACGCAATAAATGCTGTTCTCTTCCTTCAAAATATGGAAATTGACTTTTGTTTAACATTTCAGTGCAATTTAAATTTTTTGAAAAATTTAATTTGTTTAAATGTCACTCTAATTGACCTTAGAGAGGTTTCTAAACACACTGTATGACGTTGATCAATTTTTCAATTAGAAAATGCATAGCAGGTACTTTGATTTACATTTCCTGAAAATATATTTGAGATTTAATAATTTTCCCAGGATTTTCCATGAGCTGTTTTACTGTGTTGACCCCGACACAGTAAAATTTTCCCCAACACAGTAACGATTCAAACTTTATGCGACGCAGTAAATATTTTGTGATACAATAAGATCTGTGATAATCAGATAATTTTAAGGCAGAGCACTTAATTATCTCCTGATAAAGGCACTTTGTCTTGCTTCACCTTGCATAATCAATTATCTCCAAGACCCTTGCTGGACTTTATGCATGAAGGAAGAAAGACAACACTTCCATGTAACCGTATAATTGCTAGTTGCATTTTTAAATATTATTTCAAAATTTAAAAACATATTTTAAATATATGTTTCTTTTTTACAAGTTTTGTAATTCAGCTGACAAAAATCACAGCAAATTTACTGTAGATCGATTGTGTCGACAGAGTTTCCTCTGCTCTTCAGAGCATGTGTAAAACATAAAGTTATATACACAAAAAATATCAAGGTTTAATATATATGTATAACTTGAAGATAGTGATACAAGAATATTATATATGGTTTTTTTTTTTTAAATTGTACTTATTTTTTTTTTAAGTTGTGTGTGTGTGTGTTTGTGGGTGTGTGTGTGTGTGGAGGGGGGGGGGGACTTACAGTTGGTTTGTCTTATACATGAAGTACATTGTATGTACTTATGTGCCAAGTTGTATTGAAATCAGACTCAAACTATAGGCGGAGTAGCATTTGAAAGAATTTCACAGAAATTTCTATTTTTAGTAATCATGCCAACAAGTACAATTCATCCAAATCAAAAACAGATACATAGAATTAAGTATCATAGTATAGTGTACTTTTGTGCCAAGTAATAATGAAATCAAAACAAGAGGCCTAGGGGCCACATTGCTCACCTGAGCACTAGGGGTGCAACGATACACTAACCTCACGGTACAATACGTATCACGGTATTCAGTTCACGATACGATACGTATCACGATACATGACAAGGTTAAAAAGACTTTCAAGTTTGTCATATTTTTTTTAAACTTGACAGGGTTATATAAAATGTTCATATTTTTTTGATAATAATTAAAATAAAATTTTGTTAACTTGCATTGGATTGTTGGGTACATCTTTGAGTTTTGACAATATTCTAAACCAATGATGAACATTTACAGGGAACTACGGGAACCTTTCCTTATAATCTTCCTTTTAAATTGGAATGAAAAAGGAAGACATTCATTCTTTTATTCCTTTTATTTACGTAGAAAACCAGTTGTCATATTTCTCGTGTTAACACGTTTTAGTCAACAAGACAGTGAATTTTCATCGAAATACACACGTGATGAAATATCGTGTATTACCAAAGAATACGTTTAGATCTAAAGGGTTTATCATTTGTCTTAACATCTATAACATATAGTCACATTAAGTCCTTCTCAGTGTTAAATCTGAGGTCTGTAAGATGCTGGAGATGAGTTTAACTTCCGTTAATGCGTTATATTGGCGACCTCACGTTTTGCGCGGAAGCCATTTTGAAATTGTAAAAAAGGAAACAAAACGAACGATTCGGATAATTCTGGACCGATGGAACCGAACCGCGATATCAGTTTAGCGTATCGTGAATTGAACCGTGGAAAAATATACCGCGATATACCGTCAAACGGTTTATCGTTGCACCCTTACTGAGCACTATGGCTAGGAAAAAGCAGAAATCAGTTCACTCTTGAAGGTTGAAAAGTTTAAATATAAAAGTGGTGGTGGGGGGGGGGGGGATTTGAACTTACTTGAATCTATACTTCATAGGGATGCTTTTGAATTAGTATGACAAATAATGGCTTTGCTGTTCTTAAGAAGAAAATCTTTATTGATATATCCTTTGTATAACTATTATCCCCTGTTATGGCCCCTCTATTCTCCTGGGGGGTCATGAATTGAACAAATTTGAATCTACATTACCTGAGGATGCTTCCATTTAAATTTGACCAATCATGGATTTGCTGTTCTTGAGAAGAAGATTTTTAAAGATTTTTCCTGTATATTCCTATGTAACACTTTGATCACCCATTGTGGCCCTACCCTACCCTCGGGGGTCATGATCTGAACAAACTTGAATCTACACTATCAAAGAATGCTTCCACATAAATATGACAAGTCATGGCTTTGCTGTTCTTGAGAAATAGATTTTTAAAGATTTTTACTATGTATTCCTACGTAACACTTTGATTGCCCATTGTGGCCCCACCCAACCCCCGGGGGTCAAGATTTAAACAAATTTGAATCTACATTACCTGAGGATGCTTCCAAATAAATATGACCAATCATGGATCTGCTGTTCTTGAGAAGATTTTTAAAGATTTTTCCTATATATTCCTATGTAAAATTATGATCCCCCCATGTGGCCCCACCCTACCCCCGGGGGTCAAGATTTGAACAAACTTGAATGTACACTATCTGAGGATGCTTCCAAATAAATATGACCCATCATGGCTTTGCTGTTCTTGAGAAGAGCATTTCTGAAGATTCTTCCTATGTATTCCTATGTAAAACTTTGATCGCCCATTGTGGCCCCACCCTATCCCCTGGGGTCGTGATTTGAACAAACTTGAATGTACACTATCTGAGGATGCTTCCATGTAAATATGACCAATCATGGCTTTGCTGTTCTTTAGAAGAAGATTTTTAAAGATTTTTTCCTATATATTACTATGTAAAACTTTGATCGCCCATTGTAGCCCTACCTTACCCCCAGGGGTCATGATTTGAACAAATTTGAATCTACACTACCTGAGGATGCTACCACATAAGTTTCATATTTTCAAGCACAGTGGTTCTTGAGAAGAAGATTTTTTAATGATGACATTAATTTTTCACGAATTCATAATTATCTCCTCTTGGAAGAGGGCGTGGCCCTTCATTTGAACAAACACTTGAATCCCCTTTACCCAAGGATACTTTGTGGCAAGTTTGGTTGAAATTGGCCCAGTGGTTCTGGAGAAGAAGTCGAAAATGTGAAAAGTTTTCAAACAGACAGACGGACTACAGACAAAAAGTGATCAGAAAAGCTCTCTTGAGCCTTCTGCTCAGGTGAGCTAACTAAACTGTAGGATGAGTTGTGCTTTGAAAAATTGTTTACATACTGACAGACAGATGGACTACTGACACCTTACTACTGTAAAAGCTCTTCTGGTCTCTGACCAGAAGAGCTTATGAACTTGTTTTTGTTCATTTTAATTGCCACTTTACACTTTTTCCACAGTTACATGGTTTCAATTTGGGCCTCAAGGTTCTCAAAATGATTTTTATATTCAACAACATCTTCTACTTCCTCTATTTCCTAGTTATCTGCATTAGTGAAGGCAGGTATTGTGACAAAAATTACCTTCTTCTCACCCAAGAATGATCAGAAGATCAGTTTACTTTGGCTTTGTGATACTGTAGAAGAATCAGTAATGCTAGAACTTTTACAGAGGACAGAAATCAGATTGGTATGATAAAAACAGATGACAAGTTGTCACTTTAGTGACTCAGGTGATCTAAAAATTGATAGCTATTATACACTCTATTAATATTACCTGAAATCAGAATTCATATTCAGAAAAACATTTTGTGTCTGCTTTTCAAGAAGCTGTGACTTTTGACTGTCTGTTGTTTGCTGAATTGATTGTTGTCCTACTTTACTAGGACTGGCATCATTTTGTGTTAACTGAGGAGAAGAGCTGTTGTCACACTTTGATGTATTTTGTTCTTGCTGTTGTTGGACAGAATATGGCCACAATAATTTTTGCTGTTGCTGTGGAGTTACTGACACCTGTTTGCTAAGTATTTGTGGTGTTACATTCTCCTGCCATAAACATAGCTGGGATGACCCCTGTTGGGCCATTATCTGTTTTTGCAGTCTAGGTGGTTGTTGTGTTACGGGTACTCTTGAACTCTGAGTTCCAGGTCGTGTACTACTTGTGACACCACTACTGGTGCCCTTCATGAACAAAGGTTCAGTTGTTGGAACTCCTAGCAGATACTTTGGAGAATTCGGAACTGAAGCTGCAGTCAAGACAGTTGTTTTTACAGGCTCAGCACCATCAAGTGGAGGTTTTACCTAGAAGTTAAAATGGAAATCCTTACTTTATAATTGAATTTAAACCTACTTGTCACTTAGAAAGAAAAGCTCAGAGAAAATTTTTGTATAACATGTACATGCTGAAAATGAATTACTTTGGATTTGAGTATGGAAAGCCAACAGGATCAAATTTCCAACTCTGAAATTTAATTGGTAGTTTTGCAATTTGCCAACTTGTGGAAAGTAAACTGTACTTTCATGATTTGTAAATTATGCAAGGCTACATTATGCTAACATCTATTAAGATGAAAGAGGGCAGTGTACAGATGACAAGTTATCTTGTCTCAAAGCCAAAAATGCCCCTCATGTACATATGCCCTAAGCTGTCTCAAAAACAATTGAAAATAGAATGGTTGGATACAGGATTATCACCATTCTAATATTATTTCACAGACAATTTATTTATTACCCAAATCTGCTAGGCCCACCCCACTCCTCAGATTCAAACGGCCTTCACCTAAAATAGTTTTGATGAAGTGAATGTCCAACCATATAGTTGTGTCTTTACTTCAAATCAAGCCTTTTCTTCACAATTCACATGTATGACCCTCCAACAAGGAACAAGAGGACCATGGGCCACATCGCTCACCTGAGCACAATGGCTAGGAAAAAGCACAAAACAATTCAGTATTGAAAAGTTAACATGGGGCCGGGGGAGGGGGAGGGGTGACTTGAATTTTAAACTACCTGAGGATGCTTCCATATCAATATAAAATGGCTTTGCTGTTGTTGAGCAGAAGATTTTTAAAGATTTTTTCCTATATATTCCTATGTAAAACTTTGATCCTCCATTGTGACCCCACCCTACCCCCGGGGGTCATGATCTGAACAAATTTGAATCTACACTACCTGATGATGCTTATAACATAACAATATGACTAAACAAGGCTTTGCTGTTCTTGAGAAGAAGATTTTAAAAGTTTTTTTTCCCTATATTCCTATGTAAAACTTTGATCCCCCATTGTGGCCCCTCCCTTACCCCAGGGGTCATGATTTGAGCAAATTTGAATCTACCACTACCTGACGATGCTTTCATACCAATATGACTAAACAAGGCTTTGCTGTTCTTGAGAAGAAGATTTCAAAAGTTTTTTCCTATATATTCCTCTGTAAAACTTTGATCCCCGATTGTGACCCCACCCTACCCCCAGGGGGTCATGATTTGAACAAACTTAAATCTACACTACCTGACAATGCTTACATATCAATATGACTAAACAAGGTTTTGCTGTTCTTGAGAAGAAGATTTTTTAAGATTTTTTCCTATATATTTCTATGTAAAACTTTAATCCCCAATTGTGACCCCACCGTTCCCCTGGTGGTCATGGTTTGAACAAACTTGAATCTACAATACCTGAGGATACTTCCATATCAATATGAGAAATCATGGCTTTGCTGTTCTTGAGAAGAAGATTTTTAAAGATTTTTTCCTATATATTCCTATGTAAAACTTTGATCCCCCATTGTGGCCCCACCCTACCCCCAGGGGTCATGATTTGAACAAACTTAAATCTACACTATATAACAAAAGGTTTCCTATAAGTTTCAACTTTTTTGGGCCAGTGGTTCTTGAGAAAAAGATTTTTAAAATATGCCACCAAATTTTCACTATTTCTGAATTTTCTCCCCTTGAATGAGGGTGTGGCCCTTCATTTGAACAAACTGAAATCCCCTTCACCCAAGGATGCTTTGTGGCAAGTTTGGTTGAAATTGGCCCAGTGGTTCTGGAGAAGTCAAAAAAGTGAAAAGTTTACAGACGGACAGACAGACGGATTACAGACAAAATGTGATCAGAAAAGCTCACTTGAGCTTTCAGCTTAGGTGAGCTAACAATATATACCCCTTTCAGTATTATTAATAAAACCATGAATTAATAAATAAAAGCTGAACATGACTCATAAATAGGCATATGCCATATTAGTTTTCCTATCTCCAATATAAGCATTGAAGTATTAGCTTTGCATTTGTTACACCTGATTGCTTTCTTGCCAAAGATACTTGGATGGAATGGATGACATGTGGATGTGTTGGTTATCTAACATTACCTTTGCTTATATTTTATTGCAGTTTACATGTATTTGTGTTTGTTTCTACTGTACTGCTTTGGAAGAAGCACACATTTACTTTTGTTGCTACCCAGTATTAACAATGACTACATCCACACAAGTGAAAACTAAAAAATGTTTAACACTGAACCAAGACCAAAAGAATGGCATATATATAGGGGCTCAAAACTTAATGCAATCAAGACAAATATGGTAAACAAAGATAGATCTCTTACTTTTACATATTGTGTTCAGCTTTAATAATAAGACATTTTCACTATTTACAGAGGAATGCATCAGGGATAGAACAAAAAAAAATCATAAAGTAGTGTAAAGACTAGATAATTTTCCCTAGGTTCTGTTTTTGTTTGATTGCTGCAAAGCACACTCAATAAAACTTCACACAATATTTAACATAAACTTTCTGTAAAAACTGACAATGGTTTACAAATAATTTAATTTATCAACTGGAAATTGAAAAATAATGAAATTTTGATTTACAAACTACAAATTTAGGTTTAAAATGTACATTAAAAGAATTATAGACTTGAAATTTTTGAATCTTTTGGTTTTCTATACTTCAGAAACATCTTTTTGTAGAATAAATTTTTCTTCCAATGAACCCTATGTAGAGGATATTCAAATTTATTGTTTTCTAAGTGGATATGGAATCATTTTCAAATGGGACAGTATCTTTTTTATTTTCAGAATTCAGTGCTAAGCTTGAGTAAAAATACCAGAAATTCCTGTTTCAAAATTGAAATAAAGCCACATCCAACTTCTAAACATTGAATTTTTAGTTTATTGCATTTTCTTTGGTTTTCCTTTTAATCCTAATTTAGCTAAAACAAGGAATAATTTGATCTAAGAATGATTAAATGCCTCATTAAATGTGTAATTTAAATACTTTTCAAAACTCAATTTAGAAGAATATATATAGAGGCTAGAACAAGCAAATTCAAAGAATTGTGGCCCCCTGCTTTCAGTGTCTTAGTGGTTGGGATGCAATTGTTTATAGAATACTAGAGCAGAGCTAGTTGCAAAGCAATGAGTAGGTCTTCCATTGGAGCTGTGAACAGGAAGAAGTGACCTTGAGTCAAGGTCATGCCACATTCTAAGTTTATAAGCAATCTTGTAAGGGGTATCAACTTGCAATGTCTCACCAAAAGAAAGACAGTAATTAAGGAATGTATAGTTTCTCTATCGGTGACCTTGAACTTGTTCAAATAACCTTGCATTAAACCATGACATTTTTCCTTAGTGACCCTGAATTTAATCAAGGCAATAATACACTCTGCATGTTATCAGCAATACCCTTTTGTGTGTTTCCAACTTGACAAGTTCACACACAGACCATACATCGAAAAAAAATATCATAATTTCTATAGTCATAATTTATTAGCTTCAACTCACTGGTTTAAAGGTTCATTGTAAATTTTTTATGCCCAATTTGAATATTGAAGAGGGTGTGTTTGCAAAACACTGATGCCCAAATACGGTAGCTTATGCTGAAGGTTAAAGTTTCTCAAATGCAAGTCAAACTCCATGGTCAAGGTCAACAGATGTATAACACCTGCTTGATCAGAGATGCTCTAACAGCTTCCCACACTGAACTCATTATTAACTGGATGCATGTCCACTCATTACTCCCAAGGGACAAATGGATTTATGCTAACTGCTTTGAAATGCACTGTGTACAATAGAAAAGGCATATCTATGTCATTCTGTTGAAAACAAAGAATTTTTTCTTTTGTTAAAAAGCTTTATATAATGAAAAAAAAAAGAAATGTGTAATCTTGATGCGACATTTTTTAATAAGGGTACTGCATGACTCTTGGATTTGTAGGGACTATCTATCAAAAAACTTTTTTTAATACTTGGTGATTTTATTTTTAGTTTTAATGAGTCGTTTTAAGCTGCAGTTCACATTTTTGTACAGATGTACCAACTGGCAGTTCTAGATTCTATGTCTCAAACCTATATAAATCCAAAATGATTAAGTCAATAAAAATGAAAAAAAAAAAAAACCTGTAAAAGCAGAAAAATTAGCCAATAATGATGAAAATAACAGGTGCACACCTTCATATGATGAATAATAGGTGTAATTTTCACACAAATCTATGCAATTGTCTCTGAGAACAGGTCCGGACAAAGTCATGTAATTAAAATGAACTAAAAAACTGACAAGTCAGCAAGGGCCCTGCCGAGGGGTAGAAATATAACGGTGCAGCTTACAGAATGAGAATTTTACTTGATTACAAAAATTTAAAAATATGTGAAGAAGAATATGCAGCAACAACTGTGTTTTTAAAATTTCAAGATAATTCCTAAATATCCAACAACCTGTAATTAGTATACCTGTATTTACTACGATGGCCGATATGGGCTGGACAAAAAGTAACCACGAGTTGTGTTTGATTTGCCGGCAATTCTTAGATGCCGGCAAAAAGTAACCACGAGTTGTGTTTGATTTGCCGGCAATTCTTAGATGCCGGCAAATCTTAGATACCAGCAATTCTTATATATAATATTTAATTAAAATGCCGAGGATATCGAGGTCACAGAAGTCTAGTTAACTGAACAGGACAAAAGGTTTGACAAAACACAGAGTACTGAGAAAAGTGAGGAGGAAAACCGCATACAGACAATGTTTAAGGGGTTTCCAGACCTGTGCACTCCACATAAACGAATATTAATATCTTTTAAATTCATTACCAACCCATATTTTATTTGATCTTCAATAGTTGTGTTATTTTTTTTTAATATCAAAGCCAGTGTTTCCTCAAAAACCAAATACGCTGTGCACTCTGCCTGTTGATTGACGGCCCAGCTACACGTAGTCAACTGATTATATGTTTTAAAAAACTTGCCTGGTTATTAAACTACCATAAACAATTAGGAGGGTGATATGAGAATACAGAAAACTTCTGAATT